CACTCCTTAACGGGAATGATCTGGGAAAAATAACTCGGCGTTAAACCCAACTAAGCCGAACTTGCGGCCGAAACACAATGTTCTAACTTTTATTTACCTCTTAGTTTTTTCTCATGGCAGGGTGTGATATGCAACACAAACATAGTGACGTTGAGAATTGAGCAGAAGTGAGAGCTTTGATGAAGAAAGAGTGAAAAGAAGATCACAGGGAGAAGACACATAGCTGAGGGAAAGGCAAAGCAGAGGACTCGGTTGGTGTGGTGGAGAGCATGTGATCCTTGGTATAGGTAATCGCGTGTTCGAAGCCCAGCTGATGTTCCGAGCTTTGTGCATGTCTCATCGCCTCTGTGGTTAGCTTTTACAATCTTCTTTCTAGAACTCGATATTGATATGATCCTCTAAATAGCTAGGAATGGCGAACTGTTTCTACTGCGTCAGTGACACGATACCATCGGTTGAAAATATTTATATTGTATGTGCCGTGCTGTCAATTAAAAGTTGATTTATGTCACCTAAAGAAGTGATGAGTAAGGAGAGAAAAAAACTGGATGAGGAAAAGAGTGTGCATTGTTCATAACACGCTTAAAGAATTTTATCTAGCTTACACCTAGCTGTTTATCTACTTTTCACTAGTTCGGAAGGCTAGATAACCTGCTGTTATGAGAAGTGTAAATCGCTTTTGCTACTCATTCGGTTGGCTGTTTCCCAACGTGATCCGTGATCCGTTTCGAGCCAGATGACGTATATGAGTGGGATTCGCTAAATGACTCGTACCAACTGCTGAGATAACTAGTTCATAAAAACCACAAGCATCTTTAAAGGCTCTTATTGTCTTAGAGAACGCTTGCATTTTTAAGAAACCTTGCTTTTTTACCTTTTCGTTCTTCTATTGAGATTTTTTCATCAAATTGTGAGGTCATCTAATAATACACTTCGTCTTTAGGGCTGAGACAACTGAGTTCAACAGGTGAGCGTGAGTTTGAGGTCCACAGTTCCTTAGTCTCTCTGTGAGCACCCAATAAACTCAAAGCGCTTTACCTATTCTACAAATTCCTCGCTGAGTTCGGTGTCCATGTTCATTGGGCGTCGTAGATGTATTCGTTGATGTGCGCTCCGTAATCGAACAATCGTATTGGTCTGTTTTCCAGAGCACGGAAATTTTTTCACGTATTGAGTTTCGTTTCATTTATTTTGTCTCCTATTCTTGCATTCTGTTTTCGGGCTTTTTGCTAACCATCTACGTGTCATGAGCAGTTATTGAGAAATTGACTATGTCTTCAGAAAAGTGAACGTTTAGTAGGGAATTTCTACAGATGTGAACAGACTACGGTTAACTTCATTGTGTTTCTATGACCCTAGCTACGGTTTGGATATGATCTATAAAGTAATATCTTCGTTGGAATCTTGCTTTAGCCTCATGAAACGTTCATGACATGTGCGATATAATAACAATCGTTAAAAACATGTAGAGTACTACTCAGCATGTGTTGGTTTTAAATACCCCCACCGTGCACCCTCTTGAGCAACTTGACCCCAAACGATATACTGTATTGCTTTTCATTTAAAAGCATATTGTCATTCGGATCGTCAGAGTTTCATTTTGCTGGCGGCATCTTTGTCGAAGAAAGTGTGCTCTAATACGATTCCATTGTGAAATATTTTAACCTTCAGTGAAAACAATTTGGACGGCTTTTGGGGGGAGAGTAGCACTAGGTCATGAAAGCGGTCCATTCCATGCTGCGACGAAGGAGAAATATGGAAACGTCAGCCATCATTAAATAAGTCTTATTACTAGCAAACTCGTCCCTGCTGAGAAAAAAACGCTTCCTATTGAGCAGTTCTGGGGTTAATAGTAAGTTGGCCCCGAAAAAATACAAAATATTTGGTGTTCTACATGTACAATACAATACGTATGAATGGGCTAAGCGATCTGTAGTATAATGGTTAGAGGTGCCGCGCAATACACCCGTGTTAGTTGCCCCAACCCTGCGCCTTGGGCTCACCAACCCTTCATCTTCCCAGGCTCAGTAAATTGGTGACCGACTTATCTGGAAGGATGATACTAGCACCGAATTGACACATCGGTTGGCCACTGTAAGTATATGTAATACGCGAGATATGCACACACTCACTTCTAGTGATGCTTAATGGTGGCGAATGTATAGCGTATTTTTCAGAGGTTGATCAATGTGAAACTTTTTATGGTCGTACTTGTTTCGTTAAAAATAAAGGTAAGGATAAACGGGATCTTATTTTCGCTAGACATATCGTTTGTGGGCATCGTTCGTACTCTTAACTCTTCCCAAACATCAACCATTAAGTAGCCATTAGAAATAGCCATTCGCCACGCCAGTTAAGAACATCTGTTTTCTTCTATCTTCCTTTGCGAAGATTGGTGGCCGTTCGAAAGATGGTTTTCGCAAGGGTCCTTCTTTGTGTGTAAGAGGTGAGAAAAGAGGTAATGAATTACTATTATTTTGTTACTTGGGTTTCAACACCATTTGATGACGTAGCCGCATTCGAATAGGTTAATTTGAATGCCCAAAAGTGGAAGCTAGTATGTTTTCGATTTCTCTTGGGTAAACTTAATGTACTCCAACTGTATATTCAATACCTTAAAGCCTTTGTCCAACTTATCTTGGGTGGAGGGCTGATAAAGCAATCACCTATATGTCTATACAATAGAATAGCGGCGAGAGAATGATTACTGGAGCTTCTATTTCACACATAAATGCAATGGCACGGCATTATGCAAGTCACTCTCCCATTACCAGCGCTTTCATTTGTGTGAAATACTTTTTGGGCCATCTTAAAATTGAGCAGTTCAGGCACCCTTTAACAGGGTGGGCCATGATCTGCTGGATCGTGGATCCACAGATGTTCATCCACATTCCTGCTAAGCAAACATAAAGTGTTACTTTATCTTTATTACGGTGAACCAGACGTTTCGGAGGGTTTCGCCTTCTTCAGAGGCCGGGCTGTTGTGGCGCAGCGGTCGGAGGCGCGCTGCAACGCACACGTGAAATCGATCTCCGCGTCCATGGCCTACCAGATCCTCCGTCCTTCCGGTGTCGGCAAATTGGTACTAGACTTGTCCAGAAGGATAGCAGCACTGGCTTGATGCATGGGTAGACCACCGCGAGTCATTTAAAGGCCAGATATGCATTTAATCACTTCCAAACGATGCTTGATGAAGTCGAATGCAAGGCGTATTCCTCAGGGGATTGATCAACGCCGAGAGCTTTATCCTTTGTCCTTATCCAGACCCTGGGTGGGTCAAGTTTACTGCATAATATCCATTCAAACACTTTCATAACTAAATAGGAAAACTACTAAGCCAAGATTTTAAATCGGGTTAAAAACAAAATAACTTCTTCGTATACTCTCCGCTTTCCATGAGTCTTCCATTGAGTATTTTATGTGGTGACCAAGCGCACAGAGTTTACATGGAAACGTAATGTGTCTTTCACATTAAAATATCAGCCGTAATTACTGTATAAAATCACGCGCAATTATGATCCATTCCTATCTGTGGTTCGTCTTGCGTGTTCAAGCTATACATGTTTATATCTACTTCGTGTTGTGTAGTTCGAGGATAGCTTGCATAGCCGAATATTAGACACGTTTTTATAAACAGCGGTAATGTCGAAAGACTCTACCATGTAGGTGGTCTAGAACACGCGTTACGTAGGCAGTCGAAGAAGATTTTGGTGTTAAGGTGAGGTAGAGTGTATTTTAACAAGTGCTAACTTCTAGTGTTGAAAACCATGTTATTCTATCTCTTTACCCGTCTACACAGTTGATCACGGGTCTGACTCATAACCATGGTCGATCGGCCGAAGCAAGATCATCAATATTTACTAACCCATGTTAACCTTTGATTTTTTATCTCCTATAATTTTTCAAGGCAGGTTATGATGTGAAATACATCCACGGTAGGCCAGGTCGCACCACAATTACGCTTTCCGGGCTCTCGCGTATTGCACACTCCATCTCAGATGCTCCTGCCCTGCTTTTCTCTCAGTTTGCTCGTGTCAGTGGGATCGATGGCAAATCAACATTGAAGCCAGCTAAGCTAAGGATGTAGTCGAAATCACAACGTTAACGGGTATTGCTGATGGCAGCATTAGGTAGAAAAGTCGCTAAGAAAAGCACAGAGCAAGTGTCTCCTTGGCGCAACCCTCATTTGATCTCGGTCGGCGGTGTTTACATGCCTTCTTGAAGCCATTCCATGCGATTTAGTCAAAACGTCTTCGAATTTTATCTGTAAACTTGCTTCAGCACTTGACTTAATAGACTTTCAAATGAATATTAAGCACCCACTATTCTCCTCCAAAGGCGTCTTGCAAGTACTGAACACAATGGTGTTCCTTCGTCGCGCACTTCTTTAACTTGTCAAACAACTCATCCTGCTTGTATCGTAAACAGGAGCAGAGTAGTCGCATTTCTATGCCCAGTATTCGATGGTTGTTTCCTGTCAGATCGCAAAATTCGTGCCGTCTATGGAACGGCTACCTACTCTATGGAAAACTCAACGTGTATACGCATGATTTGCGCTAGGCAGTTTCCATTCCAGTAAATGCCTAACGCATACTGACGCTCTCAAATTGAAGGCTGAGAAGTTTTTCGACTAGAAAACCCAGCAATTCTAGCAGGAAAACGTCTATTAATTATTTTAAGGTTATACATAATGGTTCGATTTGCACGACGATTAAAAGACTTTATCATAAATTTGAGGGTTGAAGAACATGAAAGTACTGCACCAATTCGCCCGTCCACCCAGAATTTAAGTACGAGACATTGTGAAGATCGCATGTGGTGTAGTGGTATATGGTGCATCCATATCTGTAGTAAATTTATTTCGTAATATTTTTGATAAATAACAATCAGAAGCAGTTTCTTTATTTTATAGTGGTATATAGCCTGCAGTTAATTTTCTAATGTTCAAAAAACTCAACTTTTTAAAAAACTAGTGCTTCTGAATGATACGAGCATGTGTATCAGCAACAATAGGCGAATATTTCGCCATCGTGGCAGGTGAAGTTTGACGGGCAGAAATTGTCTTTGCAGCTCTTTCCCAGCTGTGTTCGTGGATAACTGTCATCCAGTGAATACGGCTTTCGGCCATTCGAGCACTTTGGTGTGTAGGCCAACGCGTAGCGATCTACAGCAATGTTGAATAAGTTTGCGGATTGGATCCTAGAAGCAAAGTAAGCAATACTCGATTCAATTAGATGGAATTAGAAGAGAAATGTACCTATAATATGGGAATAATAGTGAAAATCTCACTTATCCTTCCTTGTTCTATTCTTAGTCCTGCGACAGTGGGAGGTTCAAAACTCCCTAGATGAAAGGAACTTGCATCTACTTAATAAGATGCAAAGTGTTCGACGATGGGATGAGATGATGACTCTTGAGAGATGCCCCGTGCAGCCGACTTCATTAAGCATCGTTAGAGGAGATTGAATCATATCAGGCCCCTATAATACATTGTGGTTGCCTACCCAAGTACCAAGTCAGTGCTGATATCCCCCAATTCTAGTCCTAATTTGATAAGCTAGAAAAGATGGAAGTCTTGGTGACTCAGAGTTCTCGAGAAACTTAGGATTTGCTAATAAAATAGATTGGCTTTCACATTTAACTTTCTCTAATCATGCTATGAACGCACTTTTGTTCTGATCGTTTATGTTACTGGAAAGCTGCGAATATGGATTGAAAGACGCGCAGTTGCAATTCAATTATTTGTTTTTCGTCCTATTATGCATTCTTCTACTTATCCAGCTTGCAGATGCATCGCGTACTCTCGTTATCACTAGAGTGTCGACGAAAATATGACGGTCGTGCTGTATGCTACTTTTGTACTATTCTAGTGATCGCATTATCCGTTTAACATTTTTAACGACATCGTCTTTCTTCAGATCACGAACGGCTGTTGATTATTGACACGGATCATCAGTTCTGAAGACGCAGACGTCGACACGTTAGCCGAAATAAATCTATTTATCAACCTCATGTAAGCTCAACAATTTAAGTACACGTTCACTATTTTGCTGCCGAGGTTAAATGGCGGTCGATTTGAAAAGTGTTTTGTTATCCATTTTTGCTAACTAACATAGCACCGACCGTTGCAGGATGAATTATCCGCTAAAAACAAACTATTATCAACAGACAGTCATATCAACAACAACCGTCTTGTATAAAGGAGTGCTGTCGGGTCAGCATGGCTCATTTGTGCGGTGTTCACTGAAGAAGATCCCATCTTGGTACTACAAGAAAGACGCCACATTGAGATAACGAGCAACTGTAGACCACCGACGCTAACCACCGGCTCTGATGAAGACGATGCCGTCGAAACGTTAGTCGAAATAAATATGTTTATCAACTTCCTGTAAGCTCAACAATTTAAAAACATCGTCTTTTGTTGACGAGTGCATTTCCACACTAACAGTTAGTGCTCGTATCTGGTTTTCCGCAAAATGCTGGCAATTTTTCAAGCGCTAGAACCGTTGCAGGATTGTAAACGTGGTCTATTAAGAAGTAAATATTGTTACTGTAGGAATACAATTTTCGAGTATTATGAGAAACTAATCGGTATTTTTCAAAACTTCAAACGAAACCCCGGCAGCTGTGAGCGTAAACAATACATTTGAAGACGTCGTCACGTTATGGTGGACGAGATACCGCTTGTTCAATCGCTCCGACTTCCGAAATTGGACGACTAACGAGGAAACCGTACAAAATAAGCTTGGGCTCCAAGGGATTAGATGTCGCAGTAAGATGGACTACTTGAGCGTATAGTGACCATTTTCAGTTTAGTGGGTTAGAGTGTTTTTTTTCACTATGATGGGTATTTTTACTAGAAAGCCAATCGAAAGTAACTCAAAGTTGGAGCTATACGACCAGAATATACATTCTTACAGCTAATAGTCTTCAAATGCTCTTTTTCGGACAAGTTCATTGACGATGAATTTGACTAACGATTAACTCGTATTTCTCATACACACCGTTCACACCCACAGAATGCTAGAACAAAGTGTCTTCTACAATTTTGTCATGCTCTCATGCTCACAACCCCTAAAGACCTCTAGTTATCGAAAAACGCTCAAAATCAGACGTGCTTCCAGGAGTGTAGAGCAACAAAGTACCGCTCGTCTGTTATGTGTTAAACACTGGGCAAACGTGCTCATTTCGTTCACTCTTACCCCCACGTATAGACGTATGCTTGGAAATCGTCTGTTATTGTAAGGTTGAAGGTGGCTGCCATTTTCGTGCCGCATCCAGTGGAAATAAAATCATGTCGAACCTTTAGCGTTACAAATGAAATGAGTTGCGATAAATGCAATATAACAATGGTGGAAATGAGCGGGGTCTTTTGAAGTCAAGTAGCAATCATAATTTTGTCGAGAATGGTATAGTTAATTTGTGTGAAAATAGCCACAGTGGACAGCTCATGTCGTGTGCTCAACAGACTTATGGATACGGTGATTTCGGTGGTCGGCCTTTTGCCATGTGACAGAATATGTAAGGAGAAATTAGGCAATGCTTCGGATTTGCTCCACGCTCTACGTTGTATCTCACTGCATCCATAGCTTGCTTTAAATTCTTGATCAGAAGCAATCTCCTTCCTCTCACAAATGAATCTCGCTAATTTGTGATTAAGAAGCAACCACTTTTTAACAAAATCAGGAAACATGATTTCCTTCAATATTTGATACATGATACTTGAACAGCACTAGTTGTGCGGGCCTCAGCATAATCACCATTTTTTGGAGATTTGGTGGTTAAGCCATTGTGGTTCCCTGGAATCCCGAGGACAGCCTGGCCAAAGTCTGCCCTAGGCCGACATCACGACAGGCAGTAGCAGCCCTTGTGGATTAGATGAAAATTTACCACTCGACTTTGATACCAAGACGGTAGTAGATCTTGGTATTGGTTTGCTCTTAGCCAGGCTTCCTGATGGAAACGCCGGACTCCTTCTTAGCTTGGGAGATCCTACCGGGGAGACGAATCCTCCCGCTGTACGCTGCAGTCCGACACCCAGGAACACCTCTCAGCCACGATGAGGCGGTAAACCGTTGGGAAGGATTTACTTCAACAGCCTTTCTATTCTATGAAAGTAGAGTTTTTAAAAATTTCGTTTGCCTGAGTGGTCCTACTGAGAGATACTGTTTATAGTCCTTCAGTGACAAATACTTAGACCCCATTTCAGCTAGTCAGCACCTATATTTTCCAGCTCGTCCGCAATGGAGTGCGAGCTAGACTTCAATAATGTTGAAACAAACTGGCCTTGGTTTGCTTTATTGCAACAGAAACCAGTGTAAACTCCCATTGAACATTCGTGACCAAGAGGACAGCCGTGTTCGTCCAGCTTTGGACCACGTTTCGAAATCCACTCTAAAAGTGAAGACCTAAACTTGGTTATGCAGCTCACCAAACCCGTTTACACACAATATCGGAGCTCCTGCAATCTCCACTTACGGTTCTACATAATGTGGCAGAGTATTCCAATGCGTAAACATAGGGCACATTTTGGAGTTAAATTTACGACATAACATTGTAAGTGAGATGAAATCATTAATGTCGCATCAAATGAATAGGAACTTGCTCGCATGAAAGCGTGTCTACTTTGCCATAAAGTGGTACTATTATAGCAGTAAGCTCTTTCGAAAGACTACTAAATATCAGTTAATTGTAACTTTCTGGTTTCCAGTCTATGAGTGAGAATACGACGTGCAAGCTTTCTACTCTGTCTCATCTTCAATACTGATACGAACGTTTTCACCTGGAGAAGATGTTGTACGAGGAATTTCGCAGATAAATGGTTCACCGTCTGGTCCACGGGCTACAGGATACTTGCCAGGGCAGCCCGTATAATCCTCTACAAACATCGTGTTTTTAAAATGATTTCAAAACGAGAAACTTTATGAAGGCTGAATTAAAGAATTTTGGACAGACACTTCTTGTATCAGCAATCTTTTAACATTTATAAATATAACCAATAACTGCAAAAAAAGAGTAAAGGAGACAAGAAGATTTCCTCATTACGCTAATAGCATCTAATTGGTCGCTAGTTGTTACAGATTCATGAGCTCAGGATTAAAAAGAAATCGTGAGAAACCATGCAAATGTACTCATTGGCTGCCAATTTATTTCGGATGAAGGCCTTTAGACCTGAATAGAACCCTTTCTGACAATCTCCATTATTGGACATTATGCAGAAAGTGAAGAAAAATTAGAATCCAAACTACTGTGAAGTACGTATGGAACAAAGTAGAAAAATCCCACGACCGACTTTCTATTAACCTCGGCATTGATCAAGTAATTCTTCGTATTTTTGTTGAGCAAACGCGAGGTGTTATTATTCTTTATTCACGAATGAGCTGACGTTTCGGCGGATTTCGCCTTCCTCAGAGCCTGCCCACTATTCTCCTCCAGAGGCGGTCCTCCAAATACTGAGCACAAAAGTTTTCCTTCGTCTCGCACTTCTTCCAGTTGGCGAACATCTGGTTTTGTCGGCTTCGTAGACAGGTGCGTAGTATTCGCAATTCGATGTCCAATGGAAGAAGTGCGAGACGAAGGAAAACTTTTGTGCTCAGTATTTGGAGGACCGCCTCTGGAGGAGAATAGTGGGCAGGCTCTGAGGAAGGCGAAATCCGCCGAAACGTCAGCTCATTCGTGAATAAAGAATAATAACACCTCGCGTTTGCTCAACAAAAATACGAAGAAAGCAGAAAAATCTCTTAATTCAAGCATCGGCTGACTAGAGATACCAAATAAAGATCTGGATCACCAGCCACCTTCGACTTATTTGCAAATGTTCCGAAAGCAAAATGTTCTCATCATTGAATATCTTCGAGCCACTGAGGAATTTTAGCGTTACCTACTACACGTGGTAACGTTCCTTTCACTCATTCCAATCAGCCGGTGACTAATTGCAAAAGTATGCAAATGGTTTTGAACAATACACTCATGGATGTAAAAGTAATATCGTCAGAAATAAAATAGAAGTTGATCTTTCCTATTGATATAAAGTCGAAACAATTTTATAGTTGGTGAAAACGAAACAGTATTAACATTATTTAGATGGGTTCAATGCCGATTTGTGCCCCCCAAATTGAAGCCGCTCACGGGTAATTGTTGATAGCAGCGATAGGTAGAAAGCTAGGTGGGAGACACACAAAGCAAAGAAGGGCCTCTGTGGTGCAGTGTGTAACAGGCGAGCCCCCAGAAAGGGTATTTGTGGTTCGATCTGGCCTGGGGTTTAACTTTGCGATTAGCCGAGCATCGTTGTGATTGCATCTCACATTATACCTTGCTGTGAAAAATACGTAGAAAATAAAAGGGCAACACAGTATTAACTTGTTCGAAATTATTACTTTATGTTTTCCGATGCATAACGGCCGTAGACAGTTCGATAGATGAAAACGTCAAAAATTATAGCACCCACGATAAGTACATGATAGAATGCAGTCAGAGATCTCCTCGTAATTATTATCGTTACCACCACTGCCGAGGTATTCAAACGCCAAACATGCGGTCGTTTCGTAGTCGAAATAGTACTGTAATTTTGGATCACTCTAACTCAAGTACGAACTTCCATTTTCTCAACTTCATTTAACACACATCGTTTTCATCTTATATGGTTTAAAGGATATGCATTGGTCTCAAACCCTTTTAATAATAACTTGAATTTTTTATTTTAACTAAAAATACGCTGAAAATGTTTGTAAAACCTTTCCAAAATATTAACCTACCCTTACTGATGGCTTTACAGTGTCATGGACCACTCCTCTATCACGATCCAGTGTACATGGTTTTCCTTGCACTGGATATTCCTTCTTCCATATCATGACGCCATTGAAAGAAGACAGAGGTGTCGGTTTGAGTAGGAACTCTAAAAGCAAAAGGCTTAAAACTTTCATCGCAACAAAACGCTATTGCACTGATTTCTTTCACGCGAAGGATTTCGAGGCGGTTAAACGCAAGCTAATGTCGACCACGTTTCTGCCCTGGGACCAACACTTGCTCAGGCGACCAGTTCCTTGGCTCCACAACGCTCGAGCAACCCACGCTTTTTTAATGAGCATAGACATATTCATTGACAAATCAGGCGGTATGCTTATTTGTGTTAGTGTTTCCAGTGCACCAGATTACATCTTAAAGATCAATGAGTCCACAATCAAACAACAGCGTGTGTACTATCGCGTTCTATTCTAGTCGACGTTTAGAGAACCCACTATGCGGTGACCATGGGAAAGGTGTGATGTTAAAGAGTCAAGTGCAAATTCAATCACCAAAAATATGAAGGGTCTATGACTACAGTTTGTTTGTACCACACGATAGGGCAACACGAAGATCGTCTATGGACCACGTAACTGTGCAAGCTTATGAAATCAAATACGATATCACACTAATTATGACGAGTACGCGCGGTCCGTCAAATGCCGTATAATATGCTGGTGAATAGCTGCTCCTATGAATGCACAACAGGGGAGGCATTGGTGGTACTCGTGCATAACGTCAGTCAGTCACGAAACCTTGCCATTTAGGCTGCCCAGATTCACCTTCGTCTTGCTCTTCAACGTGATTCCGAGATTCCGCACTTTTTCTACTGATATTAAATTAGCGTTGGCGCAAAAAATAAAGGCCAATTTGTTTTCTTTTAATTTTTCTCTACCGATTCAAACACATAAAATCCAATTTTAGACCAGTACTCGCCTACTGCCCACGCGTGTGGCGCAGTGGTCGGAGGCGTCCTGCAACACACACGTTGATTCAAGGTGCCACACTTATCTGAGAGGATAGCAGCACTGGCCCGATACATCGGTAGACCACCGCTGGTCATATAAAGACGAGATATGCATTCATTCATCTCTAAACGACGATTAATGAAGTCGAATGCATGGCGCATCCCTCCGCGATTGAACAACGCTGAGAGCTTATTCTTTTTCCTTTACTCGCCTACTACCAAAACCGGTCAAAGCGTCTATAGATGACAGAGAAGCATTTCTTCTAATGCAAAAGAGATGTAAACATCTTAAAAAATTGTATATGAAAAAAGAGAATGCGTAGACAATAAGAAGCATAAAAATGACTATGACTAATGCAAGCGAAAACTAGTAGCTAATTTTTACTCTTGTTCTTGATGTGCAGCAGTGGTGATTGGGAAAGTAGTCGTTATAATGAGTAACGAACGCATGCTAATAGCAGATCAATGTTCCGAATTCCGAAGACGAATCCAGTAGGAATTTCCCAGTCTGGAGATAAAGAGATCAGCGCCAAGCTCATTCCGTTGTGTTATTGAATTACGTGATGTTTAGTTAACCTTTGCTAAACGACAAATGCAATAATAGCTGACTTTCAAGTGCATCTATTTTTAGTACAAATGAACAATTTGTGAGTATAGTGTTCAAAATGTAGATGAACTATGCAGACTATTCTCCATCACGTAAAGAGTCTCTCTCAGCTGGTCGTTCTAAAACTTTTTCATCTGATATGTATGATGTTTTTATTTTTTTACAGCTATTTAGAAATAATGTCCGATGACATACCAAACACCAATCTCGTGGTTGCTCATTGAGGGAAAAACAGTGAATGCTCGATAAGCTCAACTAAACGGGGAAAAAGGAGCCATTGGCCAACTAACGAACCCGAATCTGCTCGTTAACCCATTCAAAATAACCGTTCTCTTAAAGAACAATGTTATTCTATGTAGACGTGTGGGCTGACACCTCAACCAGATCAAGAATTCCGTGCATCAAACACACAACACTTGAACGACACCCTCTGAGACTTAAGTGACACAAAGAAAGTTGCAGCCCAGATCTTCGAATTCTATTTCATCTTTGAGATAACACGGCATGATACATCAATAGCGAAGCACACATGGGCAGGTGATATAGTAAGAAAAACAGAACATCTCTCGATAGACTAGAAGAAAACTAGAAGAACAATAAAAAATCATGAAGAAAAGACTCACTTGTATCATCACATCGAATGTACTCATTTGATGCCATTCTCTTATTCGTGTTCGCTATTTCTTCGCCGGTAAGAGGATCGACACAGTAACAGCGCTGTTGTTGTAGATTGCACTGCATTGGCTCGTAGTTCCCTGATGTTGTTTTTAAAACCTATATAACTTGTAACTTTAACAAAATATTTTACTCAGAGCTGCTATCAACGGTAATAGTTTGGTCGAATTGTTGGAGAAGTTCGAACGGATGCATAAAGAGTTTAACGACTTGTGATTAACTATTCATAACGCAATGAAGTGTCCTACGGACTGCCTTTGATAAGCCTTATTTCATTGATAGTCCAACATGAGGTTGTTACCAAGCATTTAGTCGACTAAAGTTTCGACAACTTCGTCTCCCTCAGAGTCCATGGTCCCAGTTGATGGTCCACAGTCGATCGCCTTCTTCATCTGGTGTCTTCGCCACAGTATCGAGTCAGATTTGCTTCAGTGGAACTATCACTTTATACATTGACACCATCATCTACATCTTACAATGACCGAGGTTGAATGAAAGTGGGTTTTCAATTGTGTCTCTAATGAGACTGCGTAAGTTTGTCAATACACATTTTGAATGTATGATGGCATGCTCAAGGCGAGTTCGCCTTCTCCAAAGCAGTTTTCCTTTTTTTAAAGAGCAAGACCACCCATATGTTGTAGACATTGGATACCAAAGGTTTTCATGAATGAAGGATGGTGATTGGTTACACAATGTGAACAATATACGGTTCCTCTCACTCTTCAAAAAAGAAAGAAAGCGGCTCTGAAGGAAACAAATTCGACGAAGCGTGAGCCATAAGCCAAAATAACACGTGTTAGCGCTTTCGTGTGAGTGATAGTTAATAAGATAACATAAGCTGTCTACAGGTTACGCGAACGTCTCTGTTTCGAATTATTACGAAACGTGCTAGTAAGACAGTAAGACACTTCCGACTTTTGAGACAAATAATACAGTTACTCTTCCGAATATTACGTGTTCCTGAAAATATTGCGCGTGTGATGCAGTGGTCGGAGGCGCCTTGCAATCCACAGGTGGAATCGATCCCCGCGCCCATGGTCCACTAAGCCTTCCATCCCCCGGGGTCTGCAAATTGGTACCAGACTTGTCTGGGAGGATAGCAGCACTGGCTCGATAGATCGGTAGGCCACTATAAGCCATTGGAAAGGCCAGATATACATTCATTCACCTCTAAACAATGCTAGTGAAGTCGAATACATGGAGCATCCCTCAGGAATTGATCGACGCCGATAGCTTTATCTTTTTTTTTATCCACGCGAACGTTTTGTCGCTTCGATAACTACTCATAAGTCTACTATGGTTAGTAGTGGTTCAAAAACCTGTACTTGTTATATTTGTCAAAATTAGAACAAGAACCAAAAAATATAGTGAAAATGTCCATAAAATTTCCTCTCACCGGAAGCGACATCGCAACTAGGAATGGAGGCCTCTTCAGGAGGAATACCATCTGCGTAAAGGTGCTCTAAGACCTTATGGCACTCTAAATTTATAAGAAGTTGGAAGTGACGAGCATTATTAGTTTTAGCTCTCTAAAAAGTACAAAAGTTTTGTACAATTTTTACTTCAAATGTCTTCATAAGCAAATAGAAACCGATAGTTAATTTCTTATGGCTGGTGGATAATATTTCACCGGTCGAACTTTGAATTAAAATTGATTCAAGTCGGTGAAACCTTAATCGTGAGTAGAAATCGGGAAAACAGGCGTTGGTCTTTTCTAAGTGCCTTCAGGAGGTTCTTCACCCACTTGAGCAAGTTGGGAGAGTCTTATTGTCTGTAGTGCGAGTATCGTAAGCAATGAAGCCGTTGTGAGCAGAGACGCAATAGCAGCCGTAGGTGTCACACTGAACAGTTTCGAAGAACCCTAAAGACGACAACTTCTATTAAATAATAAAAAATTGAAAAAAACTAAAAAAAACTTTCTAGAGCATAAGTGGCAATCAAGGGTCTCGCATATGCTCGTGCACTTCCGAAAAAGTAGAGTAGACATTAATCTCAGCTACTATTATTGATAACAGACAGAAACAATCAAAATAAAAGATAAATTAACCATTGAATATAGTGCGTGTGGAGCGATTGGTTTCAGATTACGACGAAATTTCCACAAGTAACAGTAGGGAGAAAAACAGTCAAGAAAAGACATATTGGACCTTTTTCAGTGCACTTCATGCCAACCTCGTTCTGTGTACACGGCCCTGTCAGTATCCGTGGCATTCTAAATTGGCTGAATAAAATACCTGTAAAAAATTTAGGAGATCATTTATGTTACTTTTTTTGAGATCTACTCTCATCGAATTAACCATGAACAACATTATGATACTATACTCTCTCGTTTCCACTAGAGTCGCGTTTAGTGCGGTTTTTAGACGTGCCGTACAATGTGCGCGTAGTCTTTGGTTCTATCCCGCTGCCGGAGCCACCAAGCCTTCCATCAGCACAGAATTGGCAGACTACTGCCAGAATTGGCTTGGACGGTGACACTATTGAGTTGATCCATCGATAGGTCCACCTAAGTCATTGTGAAAGCCAGATATTCATCCAAACATCAGCTCTGACGAAGCTTAGTGAAGTCGAATGCACGGCGCAATCTCTCAGGGATTGATTAACGCGAAAAGCTTTATCCTTGTTTTTGGTCATTGCATCTTCAAAAATTTCTACAACTTACACTTTATTTTTAGTTTCGGTCGAAGGCAGCCGTAAATCTCTAACAACATGTACAATGGAAAGCAACATTAAAAATAGTATCATTAACGGATCTGAAACGATATTAAACACTATATTAAAAACGACAACAGCGACGAAAACGATGTTGAGCCAGTCAATCACTGACTTAGCAAGAAACACCGAAAATCCTATGCTGTGATTTGAAATACGTAATAAAACATGGACGGAAAGTTTAAGCAGTAAAGCCGGAAAGATGTTATCGGAAAAAAATACGCATGTGGAACATGGCTCGATAATGAGAAAATCAAGTTTGAACATGTTTTATAAACACGGTTTAGCACTAAGACCATAAATAGTCAGCGATGCGTTTCGTGCTTAAGAATACGGCAGAGAGGACTGGTTCGCCTTATCCCAATTTGGCTCTTCGCCTTCACCTCAGACACGGTTCTCCAAAAAATATTAACACGCATAGGCGGTCGAAATGATCATTCAGAAACAGCTATCGTTTTCTTACAGAATATGAAAATTTTTTACTTTATTTTTTCTAAATAAATACAGAAGTAAAGAACTTTATAAGACCGCGAAAAGTTAGTTGATGTTTGGTGCTCCCGTTGTGCAGTAGAAAGAATGCCCTGCAATGCACACGTGGTCTTCGCTTTGCTCCCGCGTAAACTTAGCGTTCAGTCCCACGGGGCTTAGAAAACTGGTTGAAGGTCTTTTTTGAGAGAGTAACAGTGCTGACTTTATACATCATTGATAGCACTGCAAACCAGTGTATAGGCTAAGTGTGCGTTCAATTAGCTTTAACGGTGCTTGAGAAACTCGAATATTTGGTGCATCAAAGATTGATCAACCCCGGCGACATTATTCTTTAGTTTCTTAGATTATTATACTAACGTAATGATGACGGAACCCACGTCACTCGCAGAAGCAAATTTCCGTTATGACATTTCGCAAACATTGGCTTTGCCATAAACCCATCTTTTTCCCATCTTCATACGAAATGCTGTCACCGTACTTGGCATTTCTTCGTCTACAACTTTCGTGTCATAAAAAAGTGGATATCACCAACTGCTCTACTGCTAGTCGCCAATATGTACAGCTCAAATGGGTGAAATCGACGCGTTTTACAGCCAGTAGAAGGAAGTAATCTGCAACAAGAAGCACTTTTATCAATTCGTTGTTGAAGACTTCAACGCCAGATAAGTAACGGCCAACGAAAATAATGTGGAGCGGAGAAATTGGAGGAGGAGAACAAAATGGGAATAGAAACCATACTAGAAAAGTCTTGTCCGCAGCATGTTTTTGCCATGGAAATTCATTCTTCGTGAGGAGAGAAAACCCCGAAAGGAAAAGGGAATCTGTTAACGAACGACTCATGTGGAAATCAATCATATTCACGCGAACCGAAAATGCTGCTCCTTTGACACCTCAGTGGTTAGATTTTGCACTAGATCTGATCACCACCTCTTCGGTGCGAAGATTCAATCCAGCCACAAGTTGGAATTCAGCTTTAAGCTGGAAAAGAACTCGTGTCATCTGCCCAGAAAAAACAAAACAAGTCGTGTATAACATGTTCTCAATAAAATAATCTCCTACACGACTAGCAGATAAATGAAGACCCGACCGAGGACGAAAAACTGCTTATCGAAATACTTAAAACTTGTGCCGAACTCGCCTCAGTTCCTCAAACGAGATTTTCGGACTGCACCACCGTTGCCAACGAGGAGCTGTTGGAAAAGAAAGGAAAAATTGAAGCTTGATTTCAGTGCAACAAAACTAACACAGTCGATAATAAATTTAAGCTGTAGAAAATGTTTACAGGAGGATTTTTATCGACATAAGCAAAAAACTCAATGGACGCAGCTCAAAAACAATCCAATCTAAAGAACTTTCATCGGGAATCTCTGTGACTATAAGGTTTCGTCATTTACCCTGATGAACGAAGGTGGGAATGTCACCAGACGTTGCCATGATATAGAATTTCTAAAGAAAAAGTTCCATACCAACCTTCCCGTTCCACAATCTCCGTCTCACATCCCGAAATCCCTACTGGTGAAAAACCGGCCTAGATTCTATCCTCCTAAACCTAGAGTTGGGATAGAAAGCATGAAGTGACGCACAGCTCCAGGACCGGATGATATCAGCATAATCCTACGCAAGAAGGCTGACCGAGTAAGTCTTCGCAACTGCTGTCCAATATGCTTGTTGAGTATATTTTACAAGCTCTTCATAAAGATTATCCTTTTGCGCAATTCGAAAACCTTGAATGGGGCGCAACCAGTTGAGCAAACAGAAATCCGACAACGATTTCGCAGCAATAACCACATCGAAATCATCTAACTAGTCATAGAAATTTGTCGGGAATACCATTAGTCCTTTGTCCTCATCTTTACTGATTACGAGAAAACGTTTGACAGCATCGAAACGTATGCAATCCTATCAGTGCTCGTCGACCAAAGAATGGACTCATCCTATATACGAACACTAGCAGACTACTAGCAGAGCTGTTGCATAAAAATACAGCTTTTCCAACGACGCCTCACCATGTACTTCAAAAGAATGCAAGCATCCTGGAAGGCCACCCAAACTATGGGCGAGCCTGTTCGTGATGGACGTATTCGTCGTAGGCTTCATCCATCCTCTCTCACTGATGATTTCAGGACTGCGAAACTCGCGGACTTCACCATGTTTGAAGCAGAAAACCACTATGGATCATGATTGGTCGAGAGCGGAACGAATGGAAATTATGCTGGAGCTCGCACAGCTGTTGTAGAAGGGTCATGCAAGTGTCCAGGTAAGTTCGAAAGTGGCTATTAGGCTAATAAGAGGTTGGCGAAAAAGTTTTATTCGGCTTACTTTTCGACGTCTTTGTCTCCATCTCAGCAGGAATGATCCGAGTCGATTTTCCAAAGCAGTCCGTCCTAGCGTTGTGAATCTTTGTAGTCGCATCAAGTCGAACCTTTTTATAGACCGGTCGAACGATTTTGATGTGTTCTCATGGAAGCGAATCAACCTGCAGCAGTCGGTCTGTAGATCACTGTTCCAAAGCACCTTTAGCAGCTGTGCCTGTTTCGTTCCGTATCTATCTTATCTTGGAAGGGATCCTTTCATTTGGTGTGAATCGCAAGACCGACTTTGTATTGGCCTCGGCACTGATCAATAATTCGCTGTTTTCTAGAGAAGTACACGAAGTTGTTATGTTACTCTTTGTCCACAAAAACGCCGGCGTTCCTGCCGATTTCGCATATTTCAGAGCCTAGGCAAGGTTAAGTGACTATAATCTAGTGAGCCGAACACCGTTATAACCCTCCATAACTCTAACAATTTCAGCAGCAACCGCCCATCCATAGGAACGATCTGGAGAACACAAATCGGCATTTAAAACAGTTAGGATAGAGTCGTAATGGAAATCACTACGCATTAATTTCTATTTGTTACCTGTCTTTTTTAAGGTAAAGTGTACAACCATAAAGACTCTGAGATATGAGCAAAGCTCAGGTGAATTCGATTAATGATTACCCCTTCCGCGATCAAGATGACCATCTGTCTTCTGCGAGACGAAATCCGTCGAGATGTCAGTTTTTTCTGAATAAAGAGTAAGGTAACAACTATCTATTTGGGTATGAAACGTTGCTTTGAGACCTATCTCCCCTCTTAGGAATAACCTGAATGGTGGATATTTCGTAGCCATTAGCGATGACAGTTTGTCGTGTTCAGTGTAGCGTCTTCTTCCTTTCTTGTTCAGTGCGAACGTCCGGCACGTGTTCCACATGGTTCAGTGGGCCACTACATTTTTACTACTTGGCGTTCTACACTATTTCTTTACGTAGTAACTTTTAGAAAAATGCGTTTAAACGTTTGAGAATAGAAGATAGCTTTCTTCAAGATTTTATCTAGTGCATTTGAACGTTTTCAAACGTTTAAATGTTGGAGAAGGCGAACTCGGTCAACTGTTAGCCATGGAACATCAAAAGACGTGTTAATAATCTCATGTCAGCTGAAAATTGGGAGTTCGTGGAGGTGATATATATAGGATTGTCATCAATGCAATGGTTAATCAAAAGTCGATCGTAAGAATTATTTCATGTTCTTTTATAATAAAAAAAGTCTCGTTCATCGTCCAGCAAAATTACTGCCATCCATCCACTAGTGCTCGTTTTCGCAGCTATTCATTTCTATCCATTCCATGCCACGACTATGCTCATAATACCAAATGCGAAGAGAAGGGAGAAGCACAACCGTTGAAGAGGTGAAGATATGCAAGATTCGATAAAAGAGGCAATTCACGCAAGATTAACCCGAACAATTAACTTGTAAAAAAAGTTCGGGGCTTACAGACTTGGCAAAAACGTCTGTATCGTCAAATGTCTCGAAACTTATGAAAAAAACAAATGAAAAAAAAAACAATGAAACTGTGCTGAGTGTTACAACACATTTTACAGGTGTTATGAGGCCAAATCCGCTTGAATACAGGTCCTGCCAATATAGCAGTCATGCCAGCAATCATCGCGAGATTCAGGTCAGAAGAATAAACTTGATGAGAAAAA